CCCCAGGCGCTCGAGCTGTCCCTCTCCCTGACGCTGTTGCTCGGGAGGAGGACGGCGACGTCCTCCGCGAGGGGTGCTGGCAACCAGGGGAGGGGGGGGGGGGCGAAGGGGCGGGCGGGATGGCAGAGGGCAGGGCGGAGCATCGGCTCACGCAGCCGGTTTTCCTGGCGCCTCCGGGAGGCGCTGGGCCAGGCGGCGCGGCGGAGACCGGCTGCATGCAGCAGATGTCGTTCCCCCCCCCTTCTCCACCCTGCCAGCTCGCCCGAACCGACACACAGAGGGGGGGGAGGAGGTCGAGCCAGACCTCTGGTGAAGGCTCGCCCCCCCCCCCCAAAAAAAAAGCGAGGCGGCAGCTTTTTGTTCACACGCTCTCTGGGACTCTGGAGGCCAGCCCCGAGGACAATCAGAAACGGCTCGGGATAAAACAGACAGAAGGAAACAGACCACGACAAAACAAACACGGTAGGGGTCGATAGATCGGTGCGCCCGTGTCTCGAAACAATGAGAAGTCGTACACCCTGCGAAATGCTTAAGAAATCATAGGTCTAGAAATTCATAGTCTCAGAACTTGAATTAAAACCCAACATGTCTATTCTAGTCTTAGGATTTACATTGAAACATTAAGAATAATCGAGACTCTGATCGAAAACTTAAGTTTTCTTAAGCATCGCCTAAGGTGTATGTCTGGGGAGAAGGAGGACGAGGAGGAGGAGGGAGAACAGGGAGGAGGAGCGAGGTGGACGGGAAGGGGGAGGGAAATTGAAGAATGGGAAAAGAACGGGGAGTGGGAGAACGATTTGGACGCCCGAAATGGGTATTGGAAATATGGGTACTCCAGATTTCGTAATAAAAGGGAGGGGGTCTGGACCCTCCAAGACAAGCCATTTCAGACCTCCCCCGTGGGAGAACCCTCCAAAACATCGTCCCCAGACCCCCCAGGCCCTCCAAGATAGCCTGGAAGAGACCCCCCCCGAAATGAGACCCCCCTCCCTTTATTACGAAATCTGGAGTGCCCAAAAACGACAGCGGCCGCAGTTGGGCCGGCAGCCTTCTGTCTCGAATGGGCCACGCCCGCGGCGACACCGACAGCAAGTCCTGTTCAAGATGGACTGGGGATGCGGTTGGTATTCGTGCCCATTCTTTCCGTACCAATTACGATCGCACCAACACTACGAAGGGCAAAGATAACGAGAAGGGACGTGGACGCAGAAGGAGAATCGGGAAGCCCCGTGATCGCCGCCGAGTGAGCGAGGGCGACACGACAGAACGCAGTAAGGTCGGCAACCCTTCCTAGCGGGGAGCAAGAACTAGAAGCACGGAGCGCTCGAATGGAAGACGGATGACGTGAAGACGCTCGAGGGGGGGGAGGTTGCGGCAGCAGCGGTAAGAACCTGCTGCCGCGAAGCCCGCCAGAGGAGCCTGCCACACGCAATGACTCTGGGGACGCAGTCCATCCAAACCCGGGTCAGTCAGGCCTTGCAGAATCCTGCAGGATCCTACACGCAAGCCCAGGTCAATGCACCCCTGGCCCTGCAGTATCCTGCAAGATCGGGCGCTCTGGCTAGCCCCCGTTTGCACTGACCGGCCATCGCTCGGACGTCCACTCCCTGTGCCTGTTTCGATTTCGTGCGTGCATTTTGTTCGCAAGGTGACCCAAAATGCTCCTCGATTGGGGAGACCAGAAGGTACCGATACCGCTACTCCCCAGACCTCTCCCAAGGTGCGTTCTGACCAGAATTTCGAGGCGAATCCAGCGGTGGCGACGAGGGCCTCCGGGGAGGCCCAACAAGGGGAACACTGAGGAAAGGTAGCGGTTTGGGAACCTTCTCCTCCTTTGAAGAAGGGCGCAGCAGCGTGGCGGCTACACACACGATGACCACACCGACCCGAGCCGCCCGAATGCAACCGGCTAAGACGCAGCCGAGCCGATCGAGCGCGAACGCACTCGGCTGCCCCGTTCCCCCCTCTGTGGCAGGCGGCGGGGCCCAGCTCCTCCGGGTGCTTGCGGAACCTCTCCAGTTCCTGCGAGGGCGGGCCCTTCATCTCCAGCCTCCTCGTCCTCCTCATCCTCATCAGCAGCATGAGCATCAGCACCATGGCCGTAACAGGCATAATCCTGGTGGTCTCCATGATCAAACAGATGATCATCGTTCACCACATAATCATCATGTTCACACCACTGCCCGTCGGCCGTCTTCATCGTAATCATCATCAACATGAACATGAACATCATCAGCAGCAGCAACAGCATCAGCATCAACCTCACCATGATCAGCATCATCATCCGCAGCATCAGCATCAGCATCAGCATCAGCATCAGCATCAGCATCAGCATCAGCATCAGCATCAGCATCAGCATCAGCATCAGCAGCATCATCATCAGCATCATCAGCAGCATCAGCATCATCAGCATCATCATCAGCAGCATCACCATAATCATCAACATCAGCGTCATCATCAGCATCATCATCATCATCATCATCATCAGCATCATCATCGTCATCGTCATTATCAGCGTCAGCATCGTCATGATCACCAGCTTCTTCACCATCATCGTCACATTACTACATCTTCGGTTTTATCATCAGCATCCTCAACAGCAGAATCACCATCACAACCAATGTCACAATCATCATCAGCATCAGCATCGCCATCCGCACACAATCCCCATCATCAGCATCATCGTCATCATAATCAGCATCATCATCAGCATCATCGTCATCATCATCATCACCATCATCATCATCAGCAGCAGCAGCATCATCATCATCTTCATCCGTATCACCGTCGTCGTCATCAGCATCATCACCATCATCATTATCACAATTATCATTCGATACAGCATCGCCGCCTTCATCATGACCACCTTCATCACCGTCGTCATCAACATCGTCGTCAGCAGCATTGTGTTCATCATCATCATCATCATCATCATCATCATCATCATCATCATCAGCGGCAGCATCATCATCGTCATCATCATCAGCATCATCATCACAATCAGCATTACAACCCCCAGTATCATATCATCATCAGCAGCATCAGCAGCATTTTCATCATCACCATCACAATCATCATCATCAGCATCTTACCATCATCATCATCAGTAGCATCACCATCACCATCATGATCATCATCAGCATCATTGTCATCGTCATCGTCATCGTCATCGTAATCGTCATCGTCATCACAACCATCGTATCACCACCATCACCATAATCATCAGCATCAAGTCGCAGTCATGGCCGTCATCCCCATTGACAACAGCATCATCTCGTCAATCAACCTCAGCATCAACATGATCGCCCTCCTCCTACTCTGTGGGTGAAGGTGCTAAGACAAAGACCAGCCGGCCCGAGTCCGAGGTTTCCCAGGGGCATGGGCGACGCCACCAGTCAGAGGGGGCAAGCTTGTCCCAGGTGCCCCGTTTCCTCCTCCACCTCCTCCTCCTCAACCTCATCCCCAGCCTCCTCCTCCTCCTCCTCCTCCTCCTCCTCGCCCTCCTCCTCCTGTTCCGCTTCCTCCGCCTCCTCCTCCTCCTCCTCCTCGTCATCCTCCTCATCATCCTCATCCTCACCCTCATCATCAGCATAATCATCAGCATCATCATCAGCATCAGCATCAATATCATCATCATCGTCATCATCATCAGCATCATCATCAGCATCATCATCAGCAGCATCCTTAACATCATCAGCACCAATATCATCACCATCAGCAGCATCATCATCGTTACCCTCATATTCAATCAACCATGTGTATCAGCATCATCAATATCATCATGACCACCACCACCAATATCAGCACCGCCAGTATCTTCGCCATCCCCCTCCTCCTCCTCCGGAAACCTCTAGAGGCTTGCAGGCACCTCTGGAGACCTCGAAGGACCTCCAGGGACATCAAGAAACCTCCCATTCCCAATCACCTCCACCTCCCTCCTAAAGGCGAGCGGAAAGGGAAGGGTTTCTCCAAAGTCAAGGGGTGCCCCCAGATCGTCGGAAGTGGGTAAGAACATGAAGGTTTAAGGCGTTTGGACTAGACTAGTTTCCCGCCCGCCCCCCTGAAAGAAGGCGCCTCAAGTAAATTGAAATCGGAAGGCGGAAGGCACCTAAAGTAGATTGGAAGTAAAGGGAAACAATCTGTTGATTTAACGCAGGAAGGCGCCTCAAGTAGATTGGAACTGCAGGTCAAAAATACGTCCTTGGCACGACAGATGGGCACTGAGAGGTTACAGGGGCTCATCCTCCTCCACCTCCTCCTCCTCGCCCTCCTCCTCCACCTCCTCCTCCATTTCCACTTCCTCTTCCTCCTCCTCCTCCTCCTCCTCCTCCTCCCCCTCCTCCTCCAGCTCCTCCAGCTCCTCCAGCCCCTCCAGCCCCTCATCCTCCTCCTCCTCCTCTTCCTCCTCCTCCTTCTAAACCTCCAGTTCCTCCAGCTCCTCCTCCTCCTCCTCCTCCTCCTCCTCTTCCTTCCCCCTCCTCTTCTTCTTCCTCCTCCGCCTTATCCTCTATCACCAGCATCATCGGTAGCAGCAGCATCAGCATCAGCAGCAGCACCCTCATGCCTCTCGACAGTTACTTACTGTGAATAAGACTCTCCTCTCCCCAGCATACGTGCTTAAAGTTTCTCTACATGCCCATGTCTTCATGTTTTACTTGCACGAATGCAGAACATGCTATTCTCTGGCGTGGTTCAATCTGGACGTTTCCAGTGTTTCAAAAGTGTGCCCCTCTTGCAGCGCAACCTTCATTGTAGGATCGGCTCCGTGTTCCCGTCGTTGGCTTTATCGCCCCAACGTTGGCCACCTCGTCGTTGTCGCCCCGTTCCCTTCCCCTCTTCAGCCTTCCTCCAGCCTTCGTACACCGCCCGTTCTTCCCGCTCCTCCAAGTCTTACTCCTGCTGGCGTTCCTACTCGTTCTCCTCCTTTTGACCTAATCCTCCTACGACTCCAGCTCACCATTACACTGTTCCGCCTCTTCCTCCTCCTCCTCCTCCTCCTC